TCCTACTGGGATTTGAACCCAGGTCGGCGGATTCAGAGTCCGCAGTGCTAACCACTACACCATAGAACCGGTGGCTGTTGTTATTTTTTATTTTTTCTAGTATTCTTTCTTCCCTATTAATTAACTAATTATATTTAAAAGGAAGAAAACTAAAAAATATAAAAAGATAACAGATTCCGTCGGTTCTATGGTGTAGTGGTTAGCACTGCGGACTCTGAATCCGCCGACCTGGGTTCAAATCCCAGTAGGACCTCTTCCTTATATCCTATTTTCGTTCTTTTTATTTTTTATAATTAACTAAACATATTTAAATATATTTAAATAAATTAAAAATTAGGAGAGAGTCTTGTGCAACAATTATATTTTTAATAGAACACATTAATTTATTCTTTTTTATCATTAATTAATATTTAGAGTTTCTCTCCTATTTATTTATTTATTTAAGAATAAAAATTTATTATATATTTATAATGTGAATACACATAAATATATATATTTATTCCTTTGCATAAGGAAAGATAAAGACGGCATCATCTTCTTCCTTTTCCCTCTTTTTCTCGTGTTTTGTGTCATTTAATTAATACTGTTATAAAGATGTATATATTGTGCATATTGTTATTAATACTAATTAAATATATTAATGTTTATATTAATAAAATCGTCTGTGAGTTTCTATGCTTTTGGCGTGCTACTGCATGCTCACACAGGTGCTTAAAGCCTTACATTAAACACATGTATATAAAGACACTAAGGCCCAAAAATATTTCAAACAGTGGAGAAGGAGGATAAGCTTGTATTAACAGCAGCCGTATTTCAGCATTCCTTGCACTCGCACGCCACAAGCTGTGCAAATTTCAGGTGCGCTTTAGAGGACTAAATTTTTTAATGTTACGGCTTTTTCTTGCAATAATTTTCGTTTACTTGTCAGTTAAAACTGTAAAATGTAGTCGTTTTTGGGCCACTAACCATTTTGCTTGGGTTTCGGTGGTCTTAGGCGGGTCACCCCAGGGGCCCGCGCTGCTTGCCTTCCTCCTCTTGCTATTCCCTCTCTCTCCTGCTTAGTGATTAAACGTGTCGCTGTTTGGTTGTTTAGTGTTGGAGCTTCAAGAGACCAGTGCGAATAACTAAGGATCACAGTCTATTTTCAGGGACCCCATTCCCCGCTTCCACTGTTAACAAACTAGAGAGTCGAATTTTCATTTCATTTCAGAATTTCCCTTTAAGCGTTTAGATCGAAGAGGAAAGAGAAGGCCTTCAGTATACTGCTCATATACGCCTTCATTGCGATGGGTGAATTCTGATTAGACACATTGTTCTGAGAGTTCCCAAGTCTGGTTAATTGCGTTTGCTGCTCTGTTAAAGTCATCAATATACTTGTGCATGTTATTGTCACCCAGTAGTAACTGCGAACTCTTTAGGAAATATGTCAACCTACTGGACAAGCTGTGAGGAGCCGAGAACAAGAGCAGCGCTCTTGCTCCAGGCTCCACAAAACTTCTACCTTTCCTTGGCGGCCCCCCGCTATCTCCGGGTTGTCACGGTAGAGGTGGAGCTATTAAAGTTTTGGGTGAAAATGTGTTGATAAAACAAAACACCAAAGTAAGAAGAATTCTCGTGTGATCATTGAACACATGGTGCAAAACTTCAGCTTAGAATACGTACTGTTCATGAAGTCAGCACACAAAGGCAAGGCCGGATCGGCCAACGACCAATGGGAGTTGCCTACCATCCCTTGAATGGAAGGGGTGTCAATGGGTCTGTAGTACCTAGGATATATTTTTAGTCGTGTGGGGCTTAGATGCATACAGGCTTGCCCTCTACCCGTTAGTGTGGTTTGATGGCTCTGTTGCATCGCCGTCACATGGGTGATGGTCCTGCTTGCCCTCCCAGTCTGGAGCTCCAGGTGAAGAGCCCCTGAGCTTTGGGTATCAATACCTTCTAATTGCAGTCTAAAACAATCATCAATTGACTCGAGCTGCGGAAGTGCCCGACAATCCAACGCACTTCTGGACTTGCAGTCGCATCCGCTGGACCACTATAAACAAGCACCGCCACAACATGTACCACTACCGGCGTGGATGGACCCAATGAAACCAATGGTGGGCCCAGTTTCTGCATTATTTGGAACACTGAAATTCCAAGACAAGCAAAACAACACCTGTCTCAGTGCCTTTCTGGTGTGTGCTATTCGCTTAGCACGCATTTAACAAAAAAAACGACAAAACCAGTCACAGGCAAGATTGGTGTCATCGCTTTTGACTGCAACACCCATAGCCGCTAGCCCGCATACTCCAGACGCAGACCATTGCCAAGCCGTAGGATTCATATCACCTGCCGTAACACTCAAGGAAAGAATAGCGTGTATACTATAAAAGGAATAACGCAATCATTTCCAAATCATCCATTTGTATGCCCTCCTTAAGCAGCACACGCATTCGCTCCCTTTTAATGCGCATCTGCTGTTTGACCCTGTACGCATTTTCTCTACCTTGCTGTTCCGTAGCCTGAAGTACTCCTTCGCTTGACCAGTTATCCGCGATCCGGTAAATCTTGCTTACCCTTGCATAATTCGTATCGCCTTCCGATTGGCGAAATATTTGGGCAGCTGCTTTTGCGAGAGCACCAGTTCTAAATGGTTGCCCACTATATGGAATTTGGTGTTTGGCAGTGGAGGGAACGGCGTTGGTGGGGTCGCTTTCTCCAAAGGGTTGGAGAAAACGTTCAAAGTAATATCGGGCAGCCATGTTGGATATATTTAGCCTCTCGTCTTCAACTAACAGCAACGTCAGTGTGCGGGCTAGGTTTCTATTTACAGGCCGCTTCTGCATATTGCCAAGCATCTGCATGGAATCCAAGAACTCATCCGGCATCATCGATGAATCAGTGTCTGAATTCATATCACGGCCTTCGCGGACATCAGAACTACGTGGAACTTTGAGGTATTTTTCCCCGGATACTTCTCCTTCTTCTGACTGTTCCCGTTCACTATCAACAATCCCCACGCCTAACAAGGAGTCATCCGACTTCATTAAGGAAGCACTGCCGACGGGGTATTCAAGGTCAGAATTGCTATGAGGCTCTTCGTGGAAAAGAAAACCGCCTGGAACTCCAAGGCCACGTTGATAAGTGTACAACAACTTCAATTCCTCTAGGCGAAGCGTGGCTATGCGGCAAATGGTGTGCAGCGCCCGCACGTGTTGCAAGAAATCACTCCGCACTATCGCAGTAGAATCAGATGGGAATTGACATGCTAGCATCTTGGCCACGTGGTCATTGATGGTTTTCAACGGATCATGAGTGAGCGCCTGTCCGTTCTCGAGCGGCGGCGCAAAATATTTTTGAAAAGCTGCCTTAACAGGTGCTTCACTGGATGCCCAGGCCGTGTTCATCTTTTCATTTTCATCCGCGAGATCCTCCAAGTACTTAGAGATGATGCCATCATCGATGGAGAGCGGGGCCCTTTCGTTGGGGGAGCTTAACCTGTCGGAGCTTAACATGTGGGGGCTTAATTTGTGGGACTTCCGCTTGCTAGCCACCCGCCAAATAACCGCGGACAGGAGTAGCAGTGAAAAGACGGCAACCAATGGCTTAGCCACCCCAACCTGCCTTCCAACAAACTTCCGTAAGGAGTAAATTCCATCTTCCCGAGAAGTTTCATTGGTGCCTTCTGTGTTCTGTGAGGGGGCGGGATCCATTCCGTCATCTGCCCCTCGTTTCGGGAGCAACCAATCCAACAATGAACGACTTGCGCCTTCCCCCTGAACCTCCATCATCTACTACGAAAAGAACTACATGGAATAGAAGTATAAATACACTTATATTGGAACTGTTTAGATAGAAATGATGTGAAATGGGTTATGAGTGCTCGTACGCGTACAGGAGACCCAGGGCTGATCGGGAGGCAACACAGAGGGCTGGGCTGAGACCAGTCTCCGGGGGGAGCCGGTCAGTTCTATTATTGTGGGTTTTCCCCCCCAATAATATGGACTCGAATATGCATTAAGAGTAATTATTTGTTTATTCAAAGGAATTAGGAGAGATTGGCTGGGTCTAGCTTATAGATGCTGAGTGTGCACCAGGTTGAACTAGTAATTAGTTACATGTAGTAACAGGGAAGCTCAGCTGTTCACTACAGATTTGCTGTTGCTGTTTTTTTTCGCCGTCTGCTTCGTGGCTACAAAGAAAGAACCTCGTACCCATAAACCCCTATCGTGTTAAACTTTAAACTCTAAGGTTTCCCAAGGAATCTTGACACTTTTATCCAAACGTTTCTTAGTATATTCATATGTATATAAATGTGGGTGTAGTAATGGTTGTCCTGTATGCAGACTGCCGTAGAGGAGGCCCGCACTTCTATGCGGGTTACCTGCATTGCTCGTACCTATACACCATAAACCGTCCAGTTCGATGTTAAATTGTATAACAAGTGTTATTTGCCGTATCTAAGGAACTAAGGAGGGCTAATAAAGGGAAAACAACAGAGTTGGTGACTGCTCTCCCCAATCACTAGGCATTCAGGTCGTAGGGGCCCAGACACGTGGAGCTGATAGAGGGGAGGGAGCCTGTGGGTACATCGATGCACCTTGGTAGAGCCCATGCAGCAAGACAGCCCCGCATGCAAGCATAGGCAAAGTACCCAACGATGCATTCATAAGTACTGTAGGGATTAGTTAACGATTTCTTTTTGCCATCAGGGTTCCTCCTTTCTTGCAGGTATGCCTGCTGCTCATGAGTCAATTGATGACAGATTATGCTACAACAGCAGTCTTGCATGCAAGTACTTGCATGCAAGTACTTGCATGCAAGTACAGTTCAATTAGGGCTGCATGCATCAGTATTTTAGACAATTATTGAAGATTTCTGCTTGCATGCAGGCAGTCTACTTGAGCGGAAGCTGCCTACTAACGTTAACCGCGTACTTATACGCCAACTTAGGCCACACTATGCTACACTATGGTGGTGTACGCGAGGCTACGCAGACCGTCGGGCGCCTGGAGTGTTATTTGTCCTCAGCTGTGCCTAAGTGTGTATATATCCATTCCTTGCATTTTATTAGTACAACCCTTATATATATTTTATATATATAT